TGACATGTAAGAGAGAACTATGTATTATGGGACCAAAGGAAATGAAAGTACAGTCATGCATCACTTAACAACGGGAATACATTTTGAGAAATGTCATTAGGTAATTTAATATTATATATAACTGATACTAATCGACCAACACTAAGGTATTCACATGGTAGTAACACTCATTGGGTGCTGGCCGGGGGAGGGGGGTAAATCCACAACTAATGGAAGCAGAAAGCACTTTTCGGGGGAGGGACATGCTTGTAGCCCTGGCTTGGGTGGTGCAAACACATTACATGTAACCAAAATGTTTGTACCCCCATAATATCCTGAATAAATTTTTAAAAAAAGAAAAAAAAATTTATACATAGCCTATTGTTCCTAGACTACAAACCTGTACAACATGCTAGTGTACGGAATGCTGTAGACAACTGCAACACAATGGTAAGTATTTGTGTATTAAACGTATCTAAACGGAAAATGTACAGTTAAAATATAGCATTATAATCTCATGGGACCACCATCACACATGCAGTCTGTCATTGTCTGAAATGTCGTTATGCAGGGCATGACTGTATATTAGTTCCTGGGATTATAGGTATACACTATACAGAAATTTTATAATAATTATTTAAAAGCCACTTGTAGAGTTTATTTTATACTTTTTATAACACTATAGAAAGCATTCCTATTAGGCTGATGTTCCCACAAATATGTAGAAGAGATCATCTACTAACTTTGTATGGTAGTTCCTTTTTCATATTTTTGAGATTCAAAAGAACAAGTTTACTAGAGCCAAATATTAGCAAGAACCATTTAATGAACTATCTTACCTCAGTGAGTTCAATTAAAACACTAAAAAGCATCATTATCCAATGGCTGATTGAGGTATTTCCTTCCCTCTCCCCAACTAAAACACACACAAACACACACCCTACATTTATGAAAGATCAAAACCAAAATAATCACAAGTTCTTTTGAATTAAAACATTTTTACAAAATTATTCAGTTCATACTGTCATATAGTGATAGAAATGAGAAAATTCTATCTATTGCTTTGAAATTTTTCCTCTCCTCTTATAATCATAATCAGAAATGCTTCTTAAATTACAAGTGAACAAATATTAAGATGTTACCTTATAAGAAACAGAATTACTTTAAATTTAACTTTAACTACACTATTACTTACCAGGCAAAACCCGCTCAAAATACAATGTTAATAACAAATAGAGAAGAGTATCAAATGCTAAAATGAAGAAAGTAACTATCATAAAGTATGAATCTCCAGAGGGATCAGGAAAAATAACACCATTCAGGTAATAATCCAGGTATGTAATCTGAGTTTAAAAGAAAAAAATAAAATGTTAGATGAACCTATAAAACTAAAGTTTAAAAAAAACAGTGCTGCCTAGACAAATGTAGTTCCTATTTTAATATATTTCTCTTCAAAATTGCACAGACAAGTTATTAGTATTATTGCTTTCTGCAAATAAAATTATTGTCACAAAAATGGGAAGTGCTATACAACAAAGTAAAGCAATTGAAGAACAAAAATTTAAATGAGTAATTGATTATCACAGGTATTTTAAAGAAGAGGATTTGAAAGAGTGGATAAGCAACCAAATATAACATATTCTGGGAAGAAAAACTCAAAGTGGGCAATGAAATTGGAGGCCATTTAAAAGAAATTTAAAAAATTCTAAGAATAAGATATTGTAGAAACATTAAAATATTAAATAAGTATTGAAGACTTGAAGAAATTATTTTAAAGATAATAAAATAGAATAATAATAAGGATAATAGTTTACATTTATATAGCAGGTATTTGGCATCATACTAGTGCAATACATATGTAATAACAAAGTTAATCCTTGCAATTACCCCCATGAGGTGGGTTCTACTGACATCCCTATTCTGCAGAAGAAAATGAAGCCAAAGAGGTTGAGTTACTTGCCCAGTGTCACCCAGCTGGGAGGTAGTGGAGCTGAGATGCTGATCAATGTCATGTGGTCTCACTTATTACACATAACCTCACATTTTACTGCCTCTGATATTTTGGAGTGGTCAGATATTTGGCAATCATTTTTCTTCTTTAAATTTGCTAGGATTTTACAAATGATCTGCCTGTTTTATTACTTCGATAAATTTTTATTGCTTATTTAATTTTCGATAGCAAAATTTCTTAAAATACTGGGTGATTGATCATTAAATTTCATGAAGCACCAAATTCTTGAATAAGAACATATTTTGAAAATCTAATAAATAAAGTCATAAAATAATCGTGTTCTTACCTGAGCTAAATAAAGTCATAAAATAATTGTGTTCTTACCTGAGCCATTCCAGCAGTGAAGGCAAAAGGGCTAAGAAGACCTAATACCCATTCCAAAGGTAAGGGAAGTTGCCTGTGTAATACAGTGAATCCCAGACATCCCCAAAATACAGTGAAGAGAAATCCAGCCAAACCAGAAAGCAAAGGTTTCTTTATTAACACACTCATGAGGAAAGCCAATGCAATCTGAAGGAAGAAAGAAGAGTTCCTATTGGTATATTTTCCCTTTGACAATCATGTATATCAATATTCATCAATTTCTCACATTGTCAAAAACTTTCTCAAAACATATAGAAAACAGGATATAAATTTAGTGACTATACTAATATCCCAAAGAGACGTCATTATTTGCTCACTTATCTGTGACCTGAAACAAGTCAAGAAGTATACGTTTTTACCAACTCACCAAAGACAGACCATATAGGCTAAAGAGTGTGAATATCACCATGAAGCCAGTATGAACTATAATTGGGATCGATGTTATGATCAAAACCATAAAAATGGACATAATAAAGATGAAGCCAGTATACATCAATCCCCAGGAGAGCCTATGATAGAAACAAGGTGTTAATTCAACATGTCACACACATGTAAATTTTGGAGAGGCAACATGCAAAATGGTAAAAGCTCTGCAGTCAAACTATGAGGGTCGAATTTATTATAAAAGTGTGGTCATGCACATTCTAGCTGTGAGACTACAGGAAAGTTATTTATCTTCTCTCACCCTCATCTGTAAAATGGGGTCAATCATAGTAGCTACTTCACATGGTTGTTCTGAGAATTAAATGAGGTAGTGCACATGAAAATGTTAGTTTAGCATGTGGTATAAAAAGTAGCCATTATCATAATTATCTCTACAATTATATAACAAATTTTAAAATAACATAACTAAATATAAGTTTATTCTTTCAGTCAAGTTACTATGTAACATGTTGATGAAGAAATACAGTAACAATCTCCCCTTTAAACTTCTTTATACTAATGCTTCCTCAAGTATACAATCCTTCTGAATGTTTAACTGAAATCTTCCCAATTTAAGTAAAGCTCATATGGCTGTTGACATAAGCCACCCAATATATTGTTATTAAGAATCAGAATACTGTAGTGCTACTAAGACATATGAAACTAAAAGTGAAAAGTATAATGAGAATTATAGTTGTACAACTGTGATACAATATCAGAGTAGCCAAAACACTGTTGCTTTTGAAAATCTGTGGAAATAGATGGAAAGATGTGTTTTAAACTGCCATATGACCTAGAAATCATACCATGAAGTATTTTCTCAGAAAAATGAAAACTTATATTCACACAAAAACCTGTACATGAATGTTCATAGCAGCTTTATTCATAACTGCCAAAAAACAGAAACAAACTCATATCTCCTCCAAAGGTTGAAATAGTGCCAGCAATAAGAAAAACAAACTTTTTATTTATTTTTTATTTTTTTAGACAGAGTCTTGCTCTGTCGCCCTGGCTAGAGCACAGTGGCATCAGCCTAGCTCACAGCAACCTCAAACTCCTGGGCTCAAGCGATCCTCCTGCCTTAGCCTCCCTAATACCTGGGACTACAGGCGCGTGCCACCACACCTGGCTAATTTTTCTATTTTTAGTAGAGATAGGGGTGTCCCTCTTGCTCAGGCTGGTCTCAAACTCCTGGCCTTAAGTGATCGTCTCATCTCAGTCTCCCAGAATGGTAGGATTACAGGTGTGAGCCACTGTGCCCAGCCAAAAACAAGCTTTTAATAAATGAGAATTTTACATACTTGAGCTTTATTTGGGTTAAGTAGATTATAGCAAAATTTGTGCCTGATCAGGTAGAAAGTAGAAGACAGTACAATGTATAAGAAGTGTTAGGACTTTATAAAAAACATAGCAGTTTTACCTCAATACCCAGATGCTTGCATCTGGCAACGGGGTTCACATGGAAATTTAAAGAACAAAATTGGCAACGCTGAACTTTTTTAGACATATTTTATCATTTTATTCTTTAAAATCTCTTTTCCTTGTCTTTGAAAAGAGAGAAGAGAAAAAAGCATACTTAAAACACTCTCTTCAATAACTGATGCAACATCAGCTAATAAAAAAAAAATCTAGCCAAAATAAAATCTGGTACCTTGTGCAGTTTTATATCAGGAAAGAGGCACTCAGAAATTTGGATTCAATGTCTGAAGTGATGGATATCCCAATTACCCTGATTTGATCATTACACATCATATACATGTATCAAAATATCACATGTACCGAAAAAATATGTACAAATATGATATATCAAAAATACCCAAAAAATGGGAAAAAAAATTTGAGTCCAAATTTAATACTTACGTCCAATAATGCTAAAAACAATATGGTATGCATTTCTGCAGGCTGGTTTCACCAGTGGCTTTTTCTGTCTCCTGTCAATAATTTCATTTTACTAATTTTTTTGTGTTATATAGCACAGTGGCTAAAAGAGTGCTTTTTTCTTGGATTTGATTCCTCACTTTATTGCTTATCAACTATATGGTTTTAGGCAAAACCCTTAACTTTTCTCTGCTTTAGTTTTCTTACCTGTAAAATGAGGATAACAGCACTATGAGCTAAAAGTGATCTCTGGAACAAAGTAAGTACTTAAACAATGTTCACTATTATTTCTATAATTACTAGACCATAATGTTTTACTATTATTTAATATTTACATAAATATTACTATAATTATCTATTATCTCAAAGTCTAGGGGAAAAGAGACAATAGATCAATGGATGGATGAATAGGTACACAGATATATAGGTATATGGAGAGAGATGCATTGTACCATCCATTAACAAGCACCCAATTCTGTTTGTACTGTGTGATTTAAACACATTGCCTCATTTAACCCTGATATTGTCTGATCAGTTCCATCCAAAGAATATTTTTGTTGACTAACTACATGACTTGGCCTCAATAACACTATAGTAAATGGGCTTATTTGTCCAAAAATTTTCATTTCCTTTTCTGCTCCTCTTTTCATGAAAGGAGTATAATTCCCCACATTGCTAACTGCAGGCTTGACAATTTGACTTGCTTTGGTCTCATAGTGAGCAGAACATACTTCTCTATCCCTTGACTTTAGTTTTGTCCACGTGACTTGGTTTAACTAATGAGATTTTATCATGTATGATAGGAGCAAGATCTTGAAATATGCTTGTGCATAGGGACTTACCCCTTGTGTTTTTGTGACTGAGTAAGAAGAACATGCCCAGCTAGCCTACTGGCCCAAGAAGGATGAGTCACATGGAGTAGACCTGGATCTAACCTACACCTTGAATCTAAGCCTGGCCAAACAGAAACTATTAATAGATCTGCCGAACTCTTATTTGCCACAGGCAAATGAGAAAGATGAAGTAATTGTTGCTTGAGGTCACTGGGTCTTGGGTGGTTTTTATGTAGCAGTTTTCTGGCAATAAATAACTTGTACAAATGTCATCCATGTTTCTTCAACTCAAGGAAACATAGCACGATCCTTACTGATTTTCTACTGCCAGCATCTTAAACTCTCATGCAGGTAAGCTAATTAAATTGAATACATGCAAGAAAAACTCATGAGTGCATCCAATTTCTTTTTTAACCTAATGAGTTTCTCTATTGATTAATGCATGATACACAGGTAAAGTAGCAAATTAACTTACCAGAATGCTGAGTCTCGGAGACCCATCACTGTCATCAGTTTCTTAAATTTTTTTCTTTCGTTTGTAATATTTAATGATGTAAAGTATATAAAAGAAGAGAAACACACTACACAAATAAAAATAAACAATTCATTTATAACTTCTCCCTTAGAAGTGAAAGGTAGTATCCTCATATTTATTCCAATAACTGATGTCAGCTCCTCCATCACAGAATGGTTCGTTGTGACCTAAATTGGGATGTTAACAAATGTATTATGTTAAAAACTATTATCAAAATTTGGTATATGTTTACAATGGAATATTACTCAATCATAAGAAACGACAGTGATCTAGCACCTCTTA